TGTCTCATGCCTATAATTCTAGCCACTTGGGAAGCTGAGATCAGGATCACTGTTCCGGGCCAACTTGGGCAAATAGTTCAGAAGACCCCATCTCCAAAAACAAAGAGCAAAAATGAACTGGAGATGTGGTCCAAATAGTAGATCACTGCTGTGCAGACATGAAGTCCTGTGTTCAAACTTTAGTCCTACAAAAAAAAAAAATTAACTGCTAGGAACACCTGCCTAGCAAGCACGAGCCTGAGATTCAAACCCTAGTACCATCAAAAACAAAACAGGAAAAAAAAAAAAAAAGGCTGTCAGATATAAACCTTGTGAAAATTTGCATTTTAAAATGTGGGGGCTCTGGAGAGATTAAAGAGAAAATAGGAGCCCTCCTAAATCAAAAGAAAGGTGAGCTCCTCATTTGAGGCTAAGTAGCTTTGAACTTGGAAAATGCTTACTATCGATAGTGAAATGACGAAGGATTGTTCAAAAAAATTTTTTCCTGTCTGTGAATGAACATATTGATACTTAGGCTACAAAATATTGGTGGGCTAATGGACTGGTTCAAGTGGTAGAGCACCTGCCTAGCAAGTGTGAGGCCCTGAGTTCAAACCCCAGTACCTCCAAAAAGAAAAGTTTTAGAATCACAAAATATACATACATATATAACGAACTTTTTTAATGTTACAATTTTGGTTGGAGGTATGACTTAAAGTGGCAGACTGTTTGCCTAGCAAGCATCAGGAACGCCCTAAATTCAATCCTTTCCCATTGGAGGCTTCTTGTGGCAATGGTAGCCATTCTACCCTTGAGTTCATACCAAGGTTCTCCCCAACTGTGTCCCCCTTAATGCAGAAGTGGAGCCACCTTCCTTCTACACCAGTCTGGGCAAATCTGCTTTTGCCCTATGTCTCATCTACTTTGTGAGGCACAACGGAAAAAAGATACAATAGGGGCAATTTCCAAAACATCCTTTGAAATCTACTGTATGCATGTGAAGAATGGAGGCAATTCCAACACTCTCCCCAGCTTAAATATCAATACATATGCCTGCTTATGAGGTAGTGGGGCAGAGGGAGATCAAGGATGAGCAGAGAAATAGGTCAAAGAAGGAAGAGCTGTGTTGTTTATCTGAATGACTTCCCTAGGATTTGTCCCACATAGCAATGGTTCTTCCCTGTCACCTAGACTTAGGAGTTTCTAAGTGTCTCCAGTGTATGTAAGTTCACACAAGCATACAGGGGAAGCCAGATTTCTTTTGAGTGCCACAGGGAAATTTTCCTCTGGACAAAGTAGCTACTGCCTGATGATCCTAAGCTTTCACTTACTATTAAGAACACACAGCAGCAATGTCTCCATGATTTAACTTAATATTTATTGTTCATTTTCATAAAATCCATTACAGTCCTGGGGAATCTGGAGTAGCTGCCCTCCATGTGCGGGCTCAGCATTCTGGACTGCTTTGATCTCATGGACACCCACCCTCAAAATATATGTATATGCATGCTTCCACAGGTGAGGCAGAAAAGGAGAGGACTAGTCTTGCACCGCAGGTAAATGCTTCATGCCGTGAGACCTCTGCTCACAACCCACTGCCTAAATCTCAATGACACTGCCTTACATCAAAGAGCAAGACACCAAAACCATTCTTCTATCTTCTTTCCCCTGTTCACTATAATATAAGCTCCATGCAGGCATTTCTGTTTCTTTTTTTGCTCTGTCTTTAGAGTCTAGGACAGTGCCTGGAACATCATAGGCCGTCATTACACTGAACTGAATGTAGTGCCAGGAAGAAATCTACATATGCCTCGGGAGGGGACAGACTCCCAAGGGTCTGAGGCTGAGAGGGTGTTGGACAAAAAGCTATGTATACTTAATGGAATACAATTACTCCTGGGAGCTCCAAACCAATAGCCCAACTTTTATGACACAGAACATAAAGCATCAAAATCAAGAACCAAATCAAATTAGCAAAACCACAAGTTTTAGGTCCCAAATGGAGCTACAATACCAACAAACACATCTGCTTCTTTAATGTAGTCAGTCAGCCCAACTTATAACTGGGGAGCAGGGGAAAGGAACATATATTGACCATGCTCTACTATAGTCAGGTCCTGTTTTAAGTGCTGTTTTCTTCAATTCATCTAATCCTCAGAACAACCCTGAGTTGAAGGCTATCTCTATTTTAGAGAGAAAATGGAGACTTACAGGTGTTTCAGACAGCAATGAAGAAACAGAAGGGCCAGGTGACAGTGGCTCAGACCTGTAAACCTAATATTCAGGAGGCAGAGATCAGGAGGATCCCAATTCAAGGCAGCCTGAGCAAATAGTTCATTGAGACCCTATCTCAAAAATACCCAACACAAAAACAGGGCTATTGAAGTGACTCAAAGTGGTAGATCACCTGCCTAGCAAGCATGAGGTCCTGAGTTCAAATCCCAGTACTGCCAAAAAAAAGTTTCATAGATAGAATTTGATACAGCACAATGTTATTCAGGCTGTGAAAGGATAACATAACAAATTGGTCCTACTAATCCTGCCTTCATACCTAAAACTAAGTGATAGCCAACATATCCCCTAAGGATGGGGTATGGAGCAAATACCCCATGAGACTCTATTTTCTCATCTGTAATAGACTTGGAAGAGATAAACAGGTGAGCTGTAAGAAAATCCACAGACTAGCTAGATGCCGGGGGCTCATGCCTGTAATCCTCACTAGTCAGGAGGCATATAAGGAAGATCTCAATTCAAGGAAGCCTGAGCAAATAAGTTTGTTGAGATGGGTATCTCAAAAATACCCATCACAAAAAAGGGCTGGTGGAGTGGCTCAAGGTGTAGGGCCTGAGTTCAAATCCCAGTACTGGGAAAAAAAATCCATAAGGCTATACATATTAGCAACCCATAAAATGTATCAGCTGAGGCTGCTGCAAATTCTATGCTGGAGAGATCAGAGGTAGACTCTGCTTCCTTAAGAGCTTTCAGTACAAGATAAAACACAGTTGAGGACTTGCCCATCCTGGTTCAACAGTGGGCAGCGGTTCTTAAACCTTTCCGTCTAGGACCACAATCACTTGCCGATTTGATGTCCACATCTTCATGGCAAGTGAGCCACAGGATTCTACCTATAGCAGCACACATACCAGTTCTTATATAAACTTAACTGTCTTGTCAAAAGCCACATCAAATGTAAACATAAACAGTAAGAAGCTGATTTTAAATTCCCATTTGTTTTCACTCAGGCCTTAGGCAAGTCCTCATTTTTATGGCTGCTCAATCCTATTGGCATAGTACGGTTAACAGTCTAGTTTCTTTCACTGTAGAAAATTCTTTATATCTAACATATACTCATGGCTACAAATTCCAACCCGTTTCCATATGATCTCATTAGAGATGTTTTCCATTTTCCAAACACCACCAATGAGAGGCATAAAATAGTGCATTATTAGTTCATCATGCAGGTTCCTTAGCAGTGGAGTAAATAAAAACTGTGCTAACAGGATTCAAGAGCTGAAGTTACTGAAATGTTCAAGGAATAAAAATTAAATAATGTCCAAATCTGTGAACAGTGTTCAGCAACAAGAAATGTCCAATGAGAAAGGAAGAAAATCCAATTTGGCTCCTGGAAAACTTTCCATTAGAATTCATTTCTACCCTACTAGATTAGTGAAACTTGTTAAGCCTGAGACCCTGAGGACAATGGCTTGCAATTAAACATGTTATTTTCTTGGAAAACGATGCTTCAAGTTTCTATTGTATAGATCCAAGACTAAGATCAATGCAAAGCCAACAATATTTACTTTTAAGATCTCACAAGACTACTGACTAGCTGCATGTGCTATGTGAAGCTGAAATTGCTATTTTTTTAGGCATAATCCCAAAGCAGCTCTTTCCCATATTTAGAATACTCTTAGAACACCTCTCTTGCTAAGGAATTCCCTGGCAATTAAAACTAGTACTTACTAGTCACTTAAAACCAACACATTCTTTGCAGAGCCAACTTTGATTCCTTTATCTCAAACATGCTATTTATATCCACCTAACTTTCTGACAATGAAAAATTCTTCATGCTTTGTGATTTTGTATTTTTTTTTAAATCAACACCAGGGTCAACTTCCACTTGATGAATTTCTTCATAACAGGACACTGGACATGCTCCCCTTCATCGATGGAGTTTCTGGTGTCTAAGAAGACTTGACCGCCTACTAAAGTTTCGCTTACATATTCCACAGGTATAAGGCTGCTCACCTGTGTGGGTTCTCCGGTGCTTAATAAGATGGGAGTTCTGACTGAATTTCTTCCCACATTCATTACATGTGAAGGGCTTCTCTCCTGTGTGAGTCCTTTGGTGTGTGTGGAGATTGGTATTTTGACTGAAGCTTTTCCCACACCATGAGCATTTGTATGGTTTTATTCCCTGGTGTGTTGTTAAGTGCTTGTTGAGATCTGAACTCCATCTGAACCTCTTATCACACTGATGACATTTATAAGGTTTCTCCTCAGTGTGAATTCTTTGGTGCTTAATAAGGTCAGAGCTAACTCTGAAGCTTTTCCCACATTCCTGGCATTTAAAAGGTTTCTCTCCTGCACGGTCTTTTTTGTGAAGATCCATAAGTCTCAGCAGCTCTTGTTTCCATGTTGAAAGTTTCTTTCTTTTCTTCACTGGAAAATCTCGATGCCATTTTCCCACTCTGTGTGTATCACTATGATTTTGTTTGGCTGTTGTTTTCTGGGGAACTTTGACTTTGATCTTTTTTGATACTATGTCTTTTGGTGCTTGTATTTCTATGTCAGAAAGAGATACAGGCTGATGATTTTCAGCGTCATTTTTTTGTGTTAACCCTGTTGGAATAAACATAAAATTCAGCCATCTGTATCTGCGAACAAGAAAATAAAAGCAATGGAAAGCAAAACTTCGATGATTGTTTTTTAAAAAAACTACAAGAGCAGAATCTTAAAGTTAAGTCCTTGCAAAGTTTCACATTAAGTGCCCACTCTTTCCATTGTGTGATTTACCTGTAGGAGAGTCTCTGTCTTTGACATGTGAGGATCCTCGAACCCATGGCTCTTCCCCTTGTTCGAGACAGGAGATCACTTTAGGCTTGGGGAGTGCAGATAATGCTGTGAGATTAAAAAAATGATGTTATGGACTGAAATTAGCAGTAAATTGGCCCACAAATTTTAAGAATATTCAGAAACAATGAAGGATACTTTTAAAGTGAGTTATTTCCAATAATTAAAAAATACTTTCACATATTTTTTTTTTTTCTGGTGCTGGGGACCGAACTCAGGGCCTTGCACTTGCCAGGCAAGCGCTCTTCCACTGAGCTAAATCCCCAACCCCGCTTTCACATACATTACCATGTTTATTCTCTACTGCATTCACAGGTAGATATGAAAAGCAGAAACTAAGAAATAAACCCCAAGGTAGGTCAATGAAAAGGATATGGAGAATGGGAAGCCAGTACACATTTTCCCTCTTTCATCACCAAGAAATCCCCATTTTCAAGCAAAAGGGAGCCAAGTTTCAGAGATTGCAAGGAATATATACTGATCCTAATAACTTCCTAAGAGGATTCATCCTGTGTAAGACCAGGTATAGTAGAACCAAGGTGAAGGACAGTAGGCTGGGAATCCTATTGCTATCGTAATTATAGTTGCTTATTTAGCTTTTATTTATTTAGCACTACATCCTGGACTATGACAGATTTCTACTCCCCTAAAGCTCACTGTTTCACATCTAGGTAAAGGAAACAGATCAAAAGCACTTGATGGACTATTTCTAGATTGTCCAATACAGGAAGCATTTACCATTCATCCTTTCAATAAATATGTATTGGGGTTGGGGTTATAACTTGGTAGAAGAGTGTATCATGAGGACCTGGGCTCAATCCTTAGCACCAAAAATAAATAAACCAATACTTATTGAGTGGCTATGATGTGCTGGGTACATCTATGGGTTAGGGGTATGTTGGTAAAGAAGTCAAAGTCCCCTGACTTCATGAAGGGTAATACACTCTAGTGAGATAATGAGGCAATCAGTCAATAAATAAAATAATGTCAGGAAGTGATAAATGTTTAAGAAAACGAACGATAACAAGAATGAATTCTAAGATTCTGCTCTTGTGAAGCCTATTTTAGATAATATTGTGTGGAACTCTTTAAGAAAGTAATACCTAAACAAAAGAAGAAAAAAAAAAAAAGAAAGTAATACTTGAGTAGAAACCTAAAACTGGAATTTTGCCATGTGGCAGAAAACTATGCCAGGCAGAGGAAAAGGGAAAGTAGAAATGAACACAGCAAGTCCAAGAAACAATATACCCAATGTGGCTAAAGAGGAACCCTCAAGGACTTAAGTAGCAGAAGACAGGTGTGTAATGGAGGGTCCCTGAGCCCTCTAAATTTTATTTTGAATTTATGAAACCACTGCAGGATTATGTCTTTATTGGGAGTACTGATAGCTGAACTGAGGACCTTACCCTTGTAAGGCAGGTGCTCTACCATTTGAGCCACTCCACCAGCCCTTGGTGTTGGTTATTTTTGAAATATGGTCTCACTTTATGCCCAGGCCAGCGTGGATTGCAAAGCACTTTCCTATTTGTGCTTCCCTGCATAGGTGGGGATGATATAGGCTTGTGCAACTGCCATTGGGTTTTGAAGAAAATGTCATAATCTGAGATTTTTTTTTTTTTGTGGTACTAGAGCTTGAACTCAGGGCCTTGGGCTTGCTAGGCAGAGGCTCTACCACTTGAGCCATGGCCCCAGCCCTTTTTGCTCTATTTTTCAATAGGGTCTTGTGTTTATGTCTGGGCTGGCCTGGACTTGTTATCCTATTTATACCTCCCACATAGCTGGGATGACAGGCACACACCACTATGCCCAGCTTTTTTATAGTTTGATATGAGGGTCTTGGGAACTTTATGCCTGAGCTAGCTTTGGAAAGTGATTCTCCCAGTTGCTGCCTCCCAAGTTGCTAGGATTACAGATGTAACCCACCATGTCCAGTTTCTGATAAGATTTTTAAAAGATCACTCTGGCTCCTTTAAGGTAAACAAACTGTGGGGGACAGGGGGACAACAGTGTTAGAGAAAGGCGTATCAGTTAGAAATCATTCACCAGGATGCTAACAGTTCTAAAGTCTGAGACATGGTTGGATTCAGGATATGTGAAAGTGGAGCTCACATATTAGCAGGATATGAAGACAAGATTAGCAGGATATGATGCCTTTTACCAAATGGGAAAGACATGAAAAACCAGATTTGGAGGAAAAGAGAGGGATCAAGACTTGTATGGCAGAATAAGAAATGAGCATGCATATTTGAAAAAAATCTCTCCAGGTGATTTTGGATACACCTTCTTCCTCCCCTTCACCAACTACCTGAAAAACAACCAGCTAAGAGAACAGAACTCTGAAAGGGATTTTTCGTAATTCAAAAATGGGAAAGATTACTCATCTTTAAAAAAGGGAAGAACTTTACCTAGAGAGATGACCATCTCATAGTTTTCTCACATTACATCATTGTAGAGCACCTTCAGAATGGGACCCAATAACCCCCATTGTACCAGGGAAAAATACATGGCCTCTTATTCAAATGTAAACAAGTTCTAAAGAGAATGGATTTCACCTCAGTACCTTCCTCTACAGAAGCAGCAGAATAACTGAACTATTAACTGTGTACTCTGCCAGATATTAAAGGAATTAATAGTACATGATTTTTTTTTTTTCTTTTTGAAAGTGGGAAGCAGAATGGAAGGTACTAAGGAATCAGCATCTAGCCTGGGAAGTGCCTGATCTCCCTGGGCCAAGCCTAGTTGTTTAGGGGAGAACATCTAGAGTAACATGCTGTGATGGTTAATCTTTACTGGCTTAAGAAGCACCTAGGAGATTGTAAAGCTCACTTCTGGGCATGCCTATTTTTGTGTTTCAAGACAGGATTCACTAAGGGGGAAGACCTATCCTGAATATGGGGGACACCATATCATTGGCTGGCGGTGGTCCACATGGAACACACAAAAAAAGGAGAACTCCTACTAGTACAGGCATTCTTTCTTTGCTTCCCGGATGTCATGTGGGCTTTTCTATTTGCCATACCCTCCTCATCATGACAGACTGAAACCATGAGCCAAAATAAATCCTTCCTTCCTTAAACTGTTTACATCAGCTATTTTGACATAGTAAAATCAAGTCTGACTTTACACAGATTCCTTAGGGCATCTGCCAAGCAATGTGGTCTTAGACAGCAGAGAAAGCCAAATAAGGTCAAACTGAGGCAGTCCTAAACATCTGGAAAGCAGAGGTCACCTGGGACTCAGGCAAGATGAGCTCAGGTGCCACTGTCCAGTCTTTGCTGTTTGTCTGCTCAGAAAAAGTTAAAATGTGTAGAGCAGGTGTAACTACAAGTAGGAAAGAACCACAGAAAATTTCTCATTTCTGTCTATAAACAATACCCTAAGTTTATTTGTAAAATACAGGACCCTGCTCTTTCAGCAGAGATGAGCCACTTTTAGAAATATGTGTGTATGTACATCAGGAATAGGGTGAGAAATGACCTTCTCGTTGTAAATTAGAATCGAGTCTCTACCAGTCCCTAGAACCAATTTCCCAGGTGACTATCCTCCGTTTTCATGAATGACATTAATAAAAAGATATTTTTCCCCCCTTGAATGATACTCTTCTGAGTTGGGCAAACTTTGAAAATGAAGCAATTAGAGTCCAGTGTGCTGAATAAAGGAAACAAGGGGGCAGAAATGAGCATGACAAATTCAAGCAGCTGCAGGACTAGCAGGGCTACAGAGCATAAAGAAAGGACACAAGTAGCAGGAGATGAATACAGAGGTGAGTATGGGCCAGATAATGGACGGTCCTGAAGCATGGTATGAATATAATAAGTAACCCACAGGTTTTTTGATGATCACTGGCTGCTATGTGGAAAAAACTGTGGAGGACAAGAGTGGAACCAGGAACAATAGTAAGAAAGTTTGAGGTTAACACTGGCTTTGACTGTTAACACTAATAGTGAAAGAGACCAAGACACAGTTGGACCCAAGCTGTATTTTCTGAAGGTAGGCTAAGAATACTATTCACTAATTGGTCAAGATCAGAGAAAGGAGCCCCAAGTTTTCAGCCTGAAATATTGGGTAAGTGGTGGTATACTCTATAATGGAAAGGACATGGGAAGAGCAAATGTAGAGTGGAGTGGAAAGGATAAAGAATTTTAGAATAAGGAATGAGCAAGTGCATTTTGAAAATGCTCTCCAGATGATATAAATATACCTTCTCCCTCCCCTTTACCATCTGTCCAAGAAACAATCAATAGAAGAGTAGACTTACACAGGATTTCATTCTCACTAAGCCAAGTACAGGACCAGTAACTCATCTTCTATACAAAAGGAGGGAGAATCTTTACCTAGAGAGATGACAGTCTCATAGTTTTCCTGCATCACATCATTGTAGAGAGCCTTCTGAGAGAGATTCAGTAACTTCCATTCTTCCTGAGAAAAATACACAGCCACGTCGTCGAATGAAACAAGGTCTAAAGAAGAGAATGGATTTCAGCTCAGTATTTGCCACTACTGAAGGAGCCCAACCACCTGGCTAGAACTGTACGGTAGGCCAGACACTGAAGGAATTCATACTTCATGATTAGTCATGCACTGCATAAGGACAATTTGTCAACAGGCCACATATTTGACAGTGGTCCCATAAGGTTATAGTGGAGATGCAAAATTTGTACTGCTTAGGTACATGATAGTCCAATGCATTTCTCATGCAATACTTGTGTAAACAAAGCTACTGTGATTATTAATTGTATGTGTAGCATAGTTACAGTATTTAATAATAAAGCATTGCAAGAGTTAGTGGAGTGGCTCAAGTGGTAGAGTGCCTGCCTAGCAAGCAAAACCCAGTACCTCCAAAAAAATAAAATGGATTATAGATGTAAAAAAAAAATAACTGATTACATTACTGGCTTATATATAGGTTTTTTATTTTAAAGGCATTGTCAAGCAACTGACTTATACCATCTAAATTTGTATAAAACAATGTATGTATGACAAAAACACCTAAAACATTTATCAGAAAGTACCCCTATCATTAAGTGACATATAATTCTATTTTAAAAAGTGAGAATGCAGAAAGCAGCCAAGAGATCAGCTAAGAGCCTAGGAGGCAGCCAGTTCCCAAGTTGAGAACTGGGTTTAACATGCCTCTGAGGCCTTCCTGGGCTGTATGAATTATGGGCAGCAGGGAAAGGTAGCTCTAAACAGCTGGAAAGCTAAGCTCACCTGGGATTCAGGCAAGATGAAGTCAGGTGCCACTGTCCAGTCTTTGGTGTTTGTCTGCTCAGGAAAGGCTAGAATTTGTTGAGGAGGCACAGCTGTGGGTGGGAAAAAGCCAGAGGAAGTTTCTCTTTTGTATGAACATCCTGAGCTCACTCATAAAATAGAGACCCTGATTCTTTCAGTACAGATGGGCCATCTTTACAAGTGGGGTATGGTGCCAGAAGTAACCTTCTCATATCTAAGAATCAAGTACTGATCAACCAACCCTTCGAACCAGTTCCCTAGTAAATTATTTCCTTAGTCGTCATAAGAAATAAATAAAATCCCTTGTTTTCTTTCTCATGACATAAATTTTTCTAAGTTGGGCAAAAAGTAAAGGTATTTCAAACTGGAAATACTCAGGGACTCAATTTATGGTAGGAAAAGAGGTTTTGTCTTTTATTCTTTTACTTCGCTGGTACACAATTATCACCACCTTCTGCAACGAAGAGTCCATTTCTTTTTTTTAACAGTCCATTTGGATCTCAATTCCTTCTGTATTTTGTGAGGATATAGCTCCAAATCTTCCTGATTGATTTCTTGCTCTCCTATCCACTTTTGTAAGGAACAGAATCTGTGGTTTTATTACCAGAATTCTGTGATTTGGATGTTTCTAAACCATAAGCCAAATCCCACCTTTACCCATAGGTGGTGCAGTCTACCACTGCCTAAGGGAACTTCGTAACTGCTGTCATAGCTGCTCTTGCAGATCCAGAGCTGGGTACACAGAAAATGCCTATGACATTTACTATCATAGATCTGAGAAAGAAATTATGAAGCTCCTTACCCCTCTCATATACAGGCTCAGTTTCTGTATGAGTACTGTTCAGTTGTTCTTGTACACCCCGGTAATTATTCCAAAATTCTTCATCCTGGGGAACACCCTCTGATAGGGGCTCTGCTGGCTTCAGCTTGAAGCCTGGGACCTCTGCTGTTTCTCCCAAGGGCACTGCCTCCTTTCCCAGCTCATTGAATGCAACCTAGAAATAATCCCCATCCTTGTTATCACAGAACTTAACTTTGAACTGGGAGATAGGCAGAGGAACAAGTGTGTACCCCAAACTGTAGGAAGGATGAGACATTAACAAAAGGGCTTAAGAGAGATAATGAGCTGCCAATATACTACAAAGAACTATCTACCGTGGAAAAATTAACATAAAAAGGGAAAAAAATTAGCTATTGTCATTCTTCCAACACAGCAACCCCTCCACTGCATAGAATCCACAGTAGGCTGCTGGCAGGGTTGTTCAGGCCATGTGTTCTCATACTGCCTTGTCTAGCTTTTCCTCTTGACTTACATTCCTTAAGTGGTTATGTACCTTTTTACTTTCTCTAAAAATCAAAGAACTGCTTAAAATTTATTATCAGTCAGATTTTCCCTAAGACCAGGAAAGGTTTTCAGAAAATGGTGACAGAATAAAGAAAAAGAGAGGGATGAGTGGCTCTAACCTACTTCCAAGCGATTTTAACACCAACTATTCATCTCAACCTGTATTCTTTACAGTAAGTCTGTGGCCAACAGGTGTTTGCCACTTTCCCAAGGGCACATTCCTCTTCACTCACCAGCAAAGCCAAGGACCAACCACTAAGGACAGTGGAACCAGTCTACAATAGGGAGAACATTATCCCTCAGTGTCTTATCTTCTCAAAGCCATTCTGTTGGGATTTTCCTTCTTTCCAACCTTGGTTTCTCTTTTCTATTTTTTTTGCCTTTCTTTGCAGTATTCCCTAGTTGTTCTGATTTCTCTTTACTGTCCTTTTTTTTTTTTCCTGTTAGTCTGGGGTTCGAACTCAGGGCCTTGCTAGGTAAGAGCTCTATCACTTGAACCATACCTCCAATCCTTTTTGCTTTAGCTATTGTTCAGATAGGGTCTCATTTTTTGTCTGGGCTAGTTTCAGACCCCAATCCTCCAACTTATACCTCCAATGTAGCTGGGACTACAATGTGTGGCACTATACTGACTTACTCTTTCCAAAAGGATGTCACTTTTTTTCTGCCTGTGCTGGCCTCAAACCACACTCCTACTAGCTTAGCTTTGTCCCCCAAGTATCAGGGTTCACAGGTGTGAGCCACTGTACCTAGCTCTCCTTTGGTCTTTTAAGAGTACTGTTTTAGCGTTCTCCTGGCTTATTGCCTTTTATTTTTATTTCTAAAAATTCAGGTTGTCTCCTCAACCAAGACCATCACCCTCAATTCATCTTGGCTCCAAAAAGGGCAAAATTCAACTTTTTCTCTAAAGTCAGAAGTCTCTGCTATGATCTTTGTAACCAGTGGACTGACTTCCCGAGAGCTTACAGTTTCAAGTTCCACCTTAACTTTGCTAAACAGAAGTAACTTCATCCAACATTTCTCAATTAACTTATACCACCCCTACTATATCCACCTTCATCCTATTTTACTGAACATGTCAGGAATCGTTCATCTCACCCCATTCCTGATTTGATCAGATTCCTTCTGCATACGTTCTGCCAGAGCCACTGCCTCCTCAATGCTCTGTGGATGGTGCTTCTGTATCTGAGGCTGCATCTCCCTTGGCAGAATGGTCAGGAACTTCTCTAGCACCAGTAGTTCCAAGATCTGCTCTTTGGAGTGGATCTCTGGTCTCAGCCACAGACGGCATAATTCCAGAAGCTGGCTGACAGCCTCACGGGGTCCAGCTGCTTTATGATAATCAAAGTTCCGGAAGTGCCAGCAAGAGTTCTTGGGTTCAACATTGTCTGTTTGTGGAGTAGATATAGTACCTTGACTGGAACTTTCTGTCAAAGGCCCCTTGGTCTCCCACAGAGCCCTGATCTGAGGATCCAAATACTCAACCACCTTCAGATCTACCATCATCATTCTGCTCTAGAAACAGTTTTGCTCCTATGTCTGACACTTCCCTGCTGTCACCTTTTGACAACCGAGGCCCCGTCAGGTCTGGTACAAAAGTCAATGAAAATATCTTCTTCCTAAGTGCACTGAGGGGAGGGAGAAAAAAAAAAAAAGCACATGTCAGTAAGTCACATGAATCCAAATATTTCCTCCTTAATTATGAGAGTAAAATATACAGAAAGCAGAAAGGTCCTGGATTGCTATTCCCTTTAAAATCAACTGCCAGGACTTTTTTTCTTTTGGCTATACTAGGGTTTGAACTCAGGGCCTTATGCTTCCTATGCAGGCACACTACCACTTGGGCCACTCCACCAGACCTTTTTTTGTGTTGGATATTTTCGAGATAGTCTCCTGATTAGCCTGGGTTGGCCTCAAAACACAATCCTGGTTTCTGCTTCCTGAACAGCTAGAATTACCATCTTGAGCCACCAATGCCTGGCAACTAACAGGACTTTTGATCCTCTTCTTTTTTACTACCTAATTAAAGCACAATACAGTTCAGAGAAGAAAAAATTCAATTTATTAGGCTACCTTTTTCTTAAATAACTCAGAAAAGGTTGGTGAATGAAATAATCAGCACCCACTGGCTGAAATGAGTTTAGAGATTATCCAAACACTAGTACTTTCTATTCCATTTTTCCATACGGGAAGACTAAGAGGAAATCTAAGATTATACCTGTTAAATTTTTAACAGGTTACCCCAGTATCTGTCTTTAGTAAGAAGATGCAACTTCCACAAACCTTCATCCACTTTCCACTGTATGAACAATGGCAGACCTGAGACCCTGTGACCAAAATAGAAAAAAAAAAAAAATAGAAAGGTAGCCATATTCTTCTCAAAATGACAGCATGGGAAACAGTTATACGAGTTATTTTACACTTGTTTACTTGCTTGACCTGGGTGGGGGGGGATCACAATTGGCTTTCGTTTCCAAAAAATCAACTTTTTTTAAAACGGAGAATGGGTGTTGGTGATGGTTAAGGTGACCATCCTGCTGGTCATTTCAAACTATGATTGAGGATCACCTTTATGTGCCTCACTTGTCCTGGGGCGAACCGAAATTCTGCCCAGGATGCCACAGACAGAAAAAGAAGTGGCCAGTTCCTTGCAGCCCACCCCGGCTCTGGAGGCACGGGGACTCTTCCCGCTTTCCATCAGCACCAGCTATGTCTCAAGCTGCACGGACCCGTCGTCGGTGCTGACCCTGGCCGGCACCAAGAAGGCCAGTGAAGGCGCGAGTTTCCCCGGGCGCAGCGGAAGACGCGGCTACCCTCCCTACGGTGGACACAGAGCACGCGGGAACGGGCAGAGCGAGCGGCCGGCGGCCTCAGGCTCCGGCCGGAAACGCCACACCTAAGGAACATGGCTGCCTCCTAACCTCCTGCTGGAAAGCAGCTTCTCGGTTACCTCGGACAGCTCGGCGTCCGTGAAGTCCCCTGCCCGCTTTCACGGGCTCATTTGCGAGCCGCCGACCCCCCAGGCGTGGCTTTGGCCAGCTCAGTTGTCCGTCGGCACGTCAGAGTCCCGCCGACAAGCGAAGGTGTACAGGGTCCAGATCGACAAGACCTGCCGCGCCGCCATCGCTTTCGGGGGCCCCGCCCGCGCGCGGCCGGAAGCGGAAGTGACGTATCCGGGTTTCACTCCGCTCCGCCCCGCCCCCTCGCGGAGGAACGTGCATCCGCGAGCTTTGCAGAAGGCTCGGCCTCCTGCCCCGCACCCAGGAAGGCCTTAACGCCTTGAGTCTCTGGGCCTAGAGAGGCTCTGCGCACCGCGCGACACGTGGGCGTCGCCGTATGGCGTCTTTGGTCTGGGATGCGTCGTGCAGGAGCTTCGTCCCTGTGTCTCTTTCGGGCGTCCGGCAGCGGCTGGTCGCCGCGATCCTAAAGTGGTAAGGTGGACGCCCACTTGCGCGGCCGGGCTCGCATCTTCCAGCCCCGCCCGCCGTGCCGGAGGTGGAGGAAGAGGCAATTTCCTGCTGGTCACTCGACTGGTTAGAGCTGGACAAAGCCTGGGGGTGGGGGAGGGTGTACGCTTCTAGGTCTCGCGGTGCTTTCCTCCCAATTCGTGTGTGTGTGATTTGTAAGCTGTAAAACAGGTTCTTCTTGACAAAGAAATTGAGACCAAAAAGTGATTGTCCAGGACCACCCAGTTCGCCAGTGGCAGCTGCTGAGCTAAAATGTGGGGCTCCTATCAGTGAGATCTGCTTTTTCCATCACTGTGTGCTTCCCTGAAGATGAGAACAGTTGTTTTCGTCTTCTGTGTCCTGCAGTGCCCAAGCAAAAACCACTTGGTTGAGGTAGGCATCCCATAAATACGTACTGAGTCCTCTTTGTAAGAAAGTGTTTTCGATTGTCGGGTAACCCTCAGGTTTTTGTAATGTATTATGTGTCGCAAGCGTTAGAGTTGAGTAAGACACCTTTATCCTCAAGCAATCTAGTTGAAAGGGCTAAAGCAATTTCATGACTATCATTGACAGAAGGTAGTTAAAAACTAGGACATAAACAACCCTGAGAACTCCAAGGACATAAAAGTTGACTCGGAATTGAGGAAATTATAAAAGACCTTGAGGGATTTTACCCACAGCAGAGTGTATGTACACATGCCAGGCAGAAGGAAAAGTGGAAACAAAGGTTTTAATGCATTAAAAAAAAATTTTTTTAATTACCCAAGCTCATGAATTTTGCTGCAACCATCAAAAAAAGGTTTTAACACTGGAGAGATTAGAATGTAAGATTGGCAGTACACTTTTACTAGTTAGGCTACATTTAGAGGAAAAGTTTAAGAAATTTAAAAAATAAGTTTATGTGGACCTTATTCTGGAGTCCTTTGAATGGGAATGAGAGGATTGCATTTAAGAAAGTAACTCCTGGAGCACCATTGAAGGATTTTTGATGGAGCTTCTTTTTAGTGCAGTTTACATGGAGGTAAGTTTAAAATGAGGGTGAAGATCAGAGGCCATTTTACTCTGGGATAGAATGGATAGAATGGTATACTCCTCTAAGGCACAGATGTTGATACTTTTTATGTGACAGGGATTAAGCGACAATAATAATGAGTATTTGCCTAGTCATGTGAATGTGTCAAAAAAGGTTCATTTCCTTAAAATCTCAGTAGGTTGGGACTTAATTCCTTTAAAAATAATATGGCTCCTAGTCTGTCAGAACTACTAGACACAAAAATAAAAAATTTTAAAAAAAGAACTACTAGACAGCAATGCCCTTACCGTTGAGATGCTCGATGCTCATCACCTTGGCCAGTGCTGAGCATATGATTAGAATTTATTAAGTTGAGTGAAGTTGTGCCAAGAGTGCCCTTAGATGTCATTAGCAGGCCTGAGTCATAACATAGGGAGAAAGTTGGTTAAAGAGAGAATAAAGGAAAAAGATCTGCAAGGAAAAAAAAGAAAGAAAGAAAAGGAACAAGGCACAAATGGTGAGTAATGAGTGTGGGTCACTGATGACTTTCATTGTGTGAGGTTTGGTGCCATAGTTACCCTTCCTGTGGAGCCAACAAAAGTTCCTTTTATCTTTCCTTTTGATTTCAGTTCCCCCTGTTTGGGCATTGTTTTATAAATGGTGAATGTTGTTGGACACTGGTGGCTCACACCTATAATCCTTGCTACTCAGGAGGCAGAGATCAGGAGGATAACGGTTTGAAGCCAGCCTGGGCAAATAGTTCAAGAGACTCTATCTCAAAAAAAAAAACCTTCACAAAAGCTAGTGGAGTGGCTCAAGGTGTAGGCCCTCAATTCAAACCCCAGTACTGCAAAAGAAAGGGAAGGAAGGAAAAGGAAGGAGGGAGGGAGGGAGGAAGGAAAGAAGAGGGGGGGAAGGACAGCAAGGAAACAATGAAAGCACATACATTGAGTTAATCCTGAAACACCCACACAACTGCCATAGTGTATTGAATGCTTTTGCTCGGTGGCTGAGATAATTGTGCTGCTATTGGCTAACAAATACTCTTGGTTTTTGTCAATTTGTAATAGTTACTACTTAGTAATTGCCTTAGTTATAGCTGCCTCTTAAAAATTTTTCTTGCTGGTGGAGTGGCTCAAGCAGTAACAGCACCTGCCTGCAAGTGTGAGGCCCTGAGTTCAAACCCCAGTGCCACCAAAAAAGAAAAAAAAAATTTTTTTTCTCGATCTTTGCTGTTATTGGCTCCATACCTTTTTATTACATTCTTTCACTATCTTCTTAATGCTCCATAATGCTACTGTGGCATTTCTTGCAACAAACTTTAGAGGAAAACTAATGTTCTACCTCTTTGGGTTCCTAGATGAGAGACGAGAAAATTCTATGTAGTTGGGGAATGGGTAGGGTAGTCAGGCTCTGAACTAAAGGAGAAAAAAGAATAAGGTACCAACTATTTCCTACCTATTTTTCTTTCTTCTTAGCATCCGGAATGCATAAAACTGGCAATTTTTGTTCTTCCCGTGAAATTGTGTATTGGAATGAAAACCATGAAATTGACCTAGAGCATGACATTTTTAAAGACCTGAAATGACTTTCAGCAGCACCAGGAGGACCTGAAGGAGTATTTGAAGACACAAGCTACAGAAGAGTTTGCCAGCCAAGGGACTGACGGGAAACAGTTGGATCAGAAACACCAATAGTTTCTTGAAGAAATTGAGTCTTGGTTCAAATTAAGTAAAACCTATACTGAAAAGAAATCAAAGTCTTAAATATGAGAAGTATACTTAATGCCCTAATGCAAATGAAAGGATAGATTTTTTTTTAAACTGTCATAAAATATTTGTAAAACTTTTAATTGCAACTCTTTAAGAATTGCCACTGTCAGTGAAAAATAACATTTGAGAATATATCAGAAATACCCAAGGAAGATCTGAGAATGGAAAAGTGCTACCAACATTATTTACAGATTACCTTGTGGACACAGAGACACTTAAGTGAAAGCTCAGTCTTTTCAGATTGCTATATTGAGTCTACAGCATACAACCCTGAACACGCCCGATCTTGTCTGATCTCAGAAGCTAAGCAGAGTTGGGCCTGGTTAGTATTTGGATAGGAGATTGCTCTACTGAATGCGAGAAAAATTGGACTTCATTGCACAGAACTTACTTTCCTTCACTTCAAGATTCTACATAACAGTTCCCAAGTTCAGCTGTCCAGACATTCCAGTGTCAGGGTCCTTGAGACTTGTAGTCTATCCAGGTGGATGACCTATTGCCCAGTGATTACTGCACACAGTGCATCATGAGCAGTGAAGTAAAATCAGGTCATTTTGGAAAAGAAGCCACACTGCTTGTCTGCTACACAAGATTACTCTGTGTTTGCCTTTGAGTCTTTACACTTCCTTCTTCTCAAACCACTTTTTACTGACTTACTAATTCTGACTGACTTACTGCGTTGTTCTCCTGGGGACTTTTCTTAATGCCTTCCCTATTCATTTTGTCCCTTTTCCTATGTGTAGTTAGGGAAAATATGCAGGTATTCCTGTCATTCCTGACTGGGGCAGCTTTACCCAGGGAGAGGAGAATAAGCAGTGGGGTTCTGAAAACCGGTTGTGGGAAAAAATGGGAGTCTTGCAGTAGCAGCACCCAGATAGCACTTGGGCAGTGGCAACTGAGTGCGTAAGACCTTTACCTCTAACCTAGCACTTGACTGATGGGTCCTTACCCTCTCAGCCCATTACCCTCTACCGCAAATGCCTACACCTGAGGCTCTGAGCTAATCTTTTAAATTTTTTTCAGTTCAGTAAGGCTTTCCCCTTTTTTCCTGTTGGTTGTTTGAAGTCAAATTCAAAATGAATAAGAGAGGGAAGTACACAACCCTGAATTTGGAGGAGAAAATGAAAGTTCTAAGCAGGATTGAAGCTGGACGATCTCTTAAAAGTGTAATGGATGAATTTGGTATCAGTAAGTCAACATTTTATGACATTAAGAAGAACAAAAAATTGATTTTAGACTTTGTACTAAAGCAGGACATGCCATTAGTAGGGGCTGAGAAGAGAAAGAGGACAACAGGAGCCAAATATGGTGACGTAGACTACGCGGTTTACATGTGGTACCAACAGAAACGCTCAGCTGGTCTTCCTGTTAGAGGGGTGGAGCTTCAGGCTGCTGCAGAGAGATTTGCACGGTGTTTTGGGCGAACAGACTTCAAAGCTAGCACTGGTTGGCTCTTTAGATTTCGAAACAGGCATGCAATTGGGAACCGAAAAGTATGTGGGGAACAAGTCCTAAGTTCAGCTTTAGAAAATGTTGAGCCATTTCGACAAAAACTGTCTATGATAATTAAAGAGGAGAAACTGAATCTAGCTCAGCTATACAGTGGGGACGAGACTGACCTCTTTTGGAAGTCAATGCCAGAAAACACTCAGGCAAGTAGAAAAGATATCTGCATGCCAGGAAGGAAAATAAACAAAGAACGGTTGTCTGCCCTTCTATGTGCAAATGCAGATGGCACTCATAAGTTAAAATCAATCATTATTGGAAAATCCAAGCTGCCCAAAAATGTGAAAGAGGACACAACTACATTACCCGTGATATATAAACCTAGTAAAGATGTTTGGTTCACTAGAGAATTGTTTTCAGAGTGGTTCTTTCAAAACTTTGTTCCCGAGGTCCGGCAATTTCAACTTAATGTTTTACGATTCCATGAAGAGGATATCAGGGCATTGTTACTTCTGGACGATTCCCCAATTCACCCTTCAGCTGAGTCACTAACCAGTGAGGATGGGCGAATAAAATGCATGTTCTTTCCCCATGACACTTCAACTTGGATTCAGCCAATGAATCAAGGCGTGATCTTAAGCTGCAAACGACTTTATAGGTGGAAGCAACTTGAAGAGAGCCTTGTAATTTTTGGAGAAAGTGATGATGAGCAAGATAAAGGAGAAAAGGGACTTTCCAAGATTAAAACATATACTATAAAAAGTGCAGTTTTTAACTGGGCAAGAAGTTGGGATGAAGTAAAACAAATAACCATATCAAGTGCATGGGAAAATCTTCTTTATAAAAAGGAATCTGATTGTGATTTTCAAGGCTCAGAAGAAGATGGAGATTATAGAGAAATTCTTGAAAAGTGCAGAGAGTTGGAAACCAAGGTGGATGATGATAGGGTGTGGTTAAATGGAGATGATGGTGAAAAGGGCTGTGCCCTAAAACCAAAAGGTGAGAGTACAAAGGAAGTGGCCCACAAAGGAAGAGCTGAAAAGCAGACTGCTGAATTTAACTTATCTGCTGTGAGGGAGAGTTTGGACTACCTTCTTAATTTTGTTGATGCCACACCTGAATTTCAAAGGTTCTGTTTTACACTGAAAGAGATGCAACAAGAAGTAGTTAAGAAACAGTTCCAGAGTAAAATCCATTCGAGGATTGGTAGTCTTTTGAAACCTAGGCTTAATAATATGAAAGATGCCTTCAATACGCCTTCCACTTCTGGTTCTAGTGATTAGGTTATTTGTTTAAAGATTTCCCTAGTTATATATGATGTAGACTTACTGTGATTTGTCATTGTTTTTACCAACTGACATTTATTTTGCATATCAATGCCCACTTATATATTGGTTATAAAATGGTTTGAAACTAATAAATTTATGTTTTTGTAAATGTATGGATATATTAGTTCATTTTTTTCTATTTAAGGCAGGGATCTGAGTAATAAGGAATTATTGTCCCAGATTACCTAAGGTAGAATGGCTGTGAGAAAAGCATTAAACTCCACCATGTTGTTCAGTAGAGTACGTGCTTAGCGTGCATGAAGACCTAGGTTCCGTTCCAGAATAAAAAAAAACCACCCTAATGTATTCATTGCTGTGTGCTAATTTTAGTTTCCTTCAAGAGAATAAAGATAGACTTGGTTTTCACTTTAATGGTATGACAGGCTGCTTTTTTTCTCACAGCACTGGGATTTGAACTCAGTTTTTTGAGATAGGTCCTTGAGAACTATCTTGCCCAGGCTGGCTTTGAACTGCCATTTCTTCCTCCTGAGTAGCTACAGTAGCAGGTGTGAGCCAGCTGTGCCCATCTGGCAGTCTGCTTAACGCTATTACCATCTACTCATGCTTGTTTTCCTTCTATTGTGGACATAACATGCTAATTACTGAAGATAAATTTAAAAAAAGAAATCACCCAATTCTGTTGACCAGTGATGCTTTCTTTGGTATGTATCATGTATTTTAATGTAGGCAGAATATATTGTAAATAAAATTTGTATCTTCTTTTTATTTTAGTATTGGGATTTTAACTCAGAGCATCATGCTTGCTAGGCAGGCACTGTACCATTTGAGCCACAGCCACAGCCCTTTTACTTTAATTATTTCTCAGGTTGTCTCACGTTTTTTGGCTAGGTGGCCTGGACTGTGATCCTCCTACTTAAGGTTCCTGAGTAGCTCGAATGACTGGTATGCACCACCATGCCCAGCTTTACTGGTTGAGATGGGCTCTTGCTAATTCCCCCGCTGGTCTGGAGCCATGATCCTTCTCCAATACCACCTCCAGAATAGCTGGGATTACAGGCATGAGCCACTGTGCCCAGCTGTATTTTACTAAGAATATACTTTTAGTATTAAATAGTAAGTTCGAATTTGTTGAATATATAGGATTGTATATGTGTATTTAACCACACCATTCCCCCTTCTTAAATAAGAAAACTGAAGTTTAAAGATGTTAGGTTGCACAAGGTAGTAAATAAAAGAGATTTAAATTCTACTTAATGCTGGCTTTTAGCTATTATGATGTTTCTGAGAATTTTCTCCGTGCCATTAAAATCTCCACAAACCTCAAGTTTGATGACCTTGTAATTAATATTCCACGTGTGACATAACAGAGTGATCCGTTCTCCTGCGAAGGGTTGCCTTCCTATTTGTCAAAGTAAATAATATGAACACTTTTTACACAATTACTATTTTAAGGAGGGATAGTAGAAAACTACCAAGTCAGGTGGTAGCCCATGCCTGCGGTTCAGTACTCAGGCTTAGCACCAGCTCAGGCAGCATAGCAAGATCCCATTTCTCAAAAGTAGGGCCGGGGATACGGCTCAGTGGTTAAGCATTTGCCTAGCGTGCACGAGGCCCTGGGTTTGATCTCCAGTACCAAAAAAAATTGAAAAATGTTTTTAAAACCCACCAAGTGGAGAGCATGATCATTAAAAAAATATATTGAATTGTGAAGTTCTCAGGCTTCCCCCCGCCTCGCCCCAATCCCGGCCCCATCCTTCCCCTCCAGGATCCCCTCCTCCCCAACCCTCTCGGTCCTCCGTGAGCCTCTCGGCCGGAGCCCGCGGTGCCCTGCGGCTGAGGTCCAGCCGGACCTGCGGCCCAAAGTGACCACACAGGCTCGAAGCCCGATGGGGCAGTGCAGGGCCGGAGGGCAGCGGGACCGGCCCCGCAAAGCGGATGGAGGGAGCTGAGGTTCCACCGCCCGGGCTGCCCCGCTTCGCTGCGGTCCCTCCGCGCACCTGCGTGGGGCCGCCGCGTCCTTGTCCCTCCGACCACAAGTGCAGGGCCGTTGGCCTTCGTTTCGTTCACGCCTGATACAGGGTCAGTGCTGGGTTCCGAAGCCTCCCAGAGAACCCCAAGCAAAGCAGCCTCCTTCCGGTCGCTGAGACTGGACCCAAGGACCCCTGAGCTAGGCCGCTCCGGTACCATGACACTGTAAGAAGCGCTCAACTGCTTTAGCTGAAAAGCACTGACTCCTTGAGCCCACGAATTAACTAATAGGAGAAAAGCATGGTGTCTCTTCCATGTGTGTATCTGTCTCTGCTCTGAGCCATTCTCAACAGTCACCTTGCAACCACCTTGGAATTAAAGGACAGAAATGATCGATAACATCTTTAGGACAAGGAACCAAAACTACCCCCAGCAGTAGACTCTCCTTTGGCTGGGCCACCCTCCAGATAACTCCCCAACCTCTCCCAGAACCTTAGGACAGAGATAATAGTCAACCAGAGCCCAGTTCTTTTGTCTACTTAAACCTATATAGCTCATGTCTATACCCCAAAGATGGCTGAAGATGAGCTGAGTGCTTTACTTTGCCTCTTCCTGGACAATGTAATAAATTTCCTCTCTGCCTTCACTATGCCTCTTTATTTAGCATTTAGGAGTAGGTGGCTGGACCTGGCATATGGAATCTCAGGAGTTTGAGCCTTGGGTCCAGAACTCCTGTTTTAGGACCTTCACCTGGGAGAGAGGACCCAACACCCACATTCCAGTGGAGCTTTCCTTCCCCAGGGGAAATGGGTAGTTTTGGGGGAGGTCCAAAACTACCCTGGAATTGCAGAAAACACTTCTTAGTTTTCTTTCCACCTGGAGAACAGTAGTTTCACCCTGGACAGATTGGATGCTTGTGAGTGACCAGATCTCTGATTGGATCTTTGGGAGCATCCAAGACATCTCAGTGACAAATTGACAGCACTAACATTAACTGGAAGATTTGAGTATTTTTGTGGTCTGAGTACTTTCTGTGTGCCAGGCATAGTGCTGTTGCACATGCAATACTTTGTGTGGCATCAGCTCATTAAGACAAGGCTGAGAAGGGCTGAGGATGTAGCTCAGTGGTAAAAAGTTTGCCAAGAGTGCCCAACGTCCTGGGTTCAATCCTCAGCACTGAAAAGGAATTTAAATATATAAACAAGACCAACAAAAAAGGCTGAGAACAGCTATGCACATAAAGTTTCTAAGGGAGCTAGACTGGAGATGAATGGTCCTATAAGAATGCCTTTAGTCCCTAGCATGTGGGGAGGGGGGGGTTCATCATTCTAGCTTCAGGCTCCAACACCAATTGGCCCACATCATAAGATCTGCATGTATTACTTATGTGGAAGGGGACAGGATAAGATTAACAGTTCAAGAAAGCTGCCACTTTAACCAGAGTGCCTAGGAACAACTGCACACCACTCCACCCTCTTTGTGGCGTCAGCAGCCACATCAGCCCTGCACTGCTCCACTGTAGAATCTTCCCTTGTCTGTCATACCCCACACTACCATTGCTCTTGGAAAAAAAGTGGATAACAGAAATGAGAAAAAGATTTTTAAAAATCAGCACAGAAAACTAAGTTTTTGCCACAGTAAAGTGAAGCAGAGCGAAGACTGATGAGGAGAGGGAAAAGGGACACAGGGTTTTTTTATCACTTAAAATGATTTATTGATAGTGTGTTGCTAATGGACTGTACCATCATCTTTTCCTCCCAAAGAACTGCTAGTTAGAACCTTCCACAAGGGCAATGTTGAGATGTCTTCCTGACATCAGATTTCCTACTCCTAGAATACCTTCTGGTATTCTAGCTCTTTCCTTTAGAAACCCACTCCTATAATAATGATTCCAATTTTTCATTCTAAAATATGCTTTCCCTTAACAATTTTACCCTCCCTTGTATCTCCCTACCATTAATGATCAATGATTGAGTTATAGCAAAACCATCTTAACTTACCTCCTGAGAATCAGTTGCAAGACCAAAATATCCTGTTTCTAAAAAAGCCTGATCTGAGGGGTTGGCAGACTGGCTTAAGTGGTAAAGTACCTGCCTGGCAAGCATGAAGCCCTGAGTTCAAACCCCAGTATCACAACCAAAAAAAAGCAAGCCTGATCTGGGGGTATACCCAGCTGTAGCTCAGGGGTAGAACATTTGACTCCAAAAATCCTGATCTGCTACTTTGCAGGTACATGAACATTCCCAACAACTGGAAACACTTTTACTGCTGTACAACCAGGGAAAGAGTACTTTTTCTTAGACCCTCTGACACAAGACCCCATGCAGCCTCTGGCTTGACCCTTTATTAACACACACAAGTCCGGTCTGGAGCATACCAGGCCCATGCCCTGCCTTAGCCCATCACTACCTCCGGGAGAACCTTTTTTTCCTGACAACCCAGAAGTCCACAAAGAAAAACTGGATCCTATGATTCAGAGCAACAGTCGGCCCTCAATGAAGATTCACACATATTCCCATTTCCTGAAGATATTTATTACCATCCAAACACTTTCAACAAGAAAAGACATAAATCCTAATTTCTCTAGGATTCATATTTTCAGTATTTCCTAAGAAATCCATTTTTCATGGAACTTTCCATGCAGGAACAAGATTCCAGAGCTCAGTTATCTTTTTTGTTGTTCTTTACCTGTGTATCTTTTTGTGACACAGGTGGGACTGCCCAATCTCTGTCTGCAAAGGTAGACTAATAATCTGTCAATTTCTGGGCTCACCTCTAAATTCCACCTTACAATTTCCCAGTGGTCTGGTTCCTTTTTGTCAGATCACACATATACGTGTGGTAATGCCTAGCACTCCTGCCAGGTTGCTGAAGGGAGTTGAGGTAGCTGACCTGGACTGCCTGTGGCTTCCCAGTCAGGTCCTTTCAGAGAACTGAAATTTACAACCAATATTGTTGACCTTTAGCTCGTTTCCCAGGAGATTTGGCCCCTCTTCTTTGGTCTCAAGGGCCCCTGGAAGCCAAATGCTCCAGCTGAATGTCCCAGGTGAGGAAGGAGTCAAAGATCACATGGTTTCCCAAGCTTGTTGGGATGGACACAGTAAGGCACACAAACCATGACTTGGTCAGATACACCAAGAAGGTGGGTACACCTTGGGACAGCATGAATTTAACAGAAAAGTGGCACTGAGCAGGTCACTTTAAAGACTGACATCCTTACTACTGCAGACTGAACTCCTTATTAGTTTTATGCTAATCCTTTGCTGCCTCTGCACCCCCCTCAAAATAAGCCCCCATTTCCCTTTTTATTAATTACCTGGAAAACAGAGATGACTAAGTCAGTTGGGCAAATGCCAGCTTTTGATAAAGCAACTTTCAGAGTAGACCACATAAGCTAGGGCAAAGAGCTATCCATTGTTTCTATCCGGTGTGAGTTCTCTGGTGACTCATGAGGCGTGAACTCCTAGAGAAGTTTTCTCCACATTCAGAACATTTATAAGGTCTTTCTCCTGTATGGGTTCTTAAGTGACGAATCCGGTTGGAGCTGTGAGAGAAACTGTCTCCGCACTCATGACAGGTATAGGGTTTTTCTCCTGTGTGAATTCTCTGGTGCCTGATTAAGTTGGATCTATGGGAGAAGTTTTCCCCACAAAGGGTACATTTATATGGTTTCTCTCCTGTGTGCGTTCTCTGATGTCTGGTGAGGTGCATGCCCTGCCGGAAGCTTTTCCCACAAGTCAAACATTCAAAGAGTTTCTTCTCCACTCTATGGGTTCCATGGTTTGCAGAAAAGGGAGCACTGTCACTCATACCCTCCCCACACTCTGAGAAGGGGTCATGTCTCTCTTTTTCATGGGTTCTTTCATGAATGACGAGGTGTGAACTCCGAGAGAAACTTTTCCCACACTCAGCACACTTATAGGGCCTCTCTCCCGTGTGGATCCTCTGGTGCCGAAGAAGGTTGGAGCTGTGAGCAAAGATCTCCCCACACTCAGGACACTTGTAGGGCTTCTCCCCAGTGTGTGTCCTCTGATGCCTATGAAGGTTGGAATTGCAAGAGAAACTTTTTCCACACACATTGCACTGATAGGGCTTCTCACCTGTGTGGGTTCGTTGATGACGGGTCAAGTGGGTATTTTGACTGAAACATTTTCCACATTCAAGGCACTTATGAGCCTCATCTCCCAGGTGTGCTCTATGCAGTGACAGAAAATGTGGGTGCCCACCAAAGATCTCACCACATTCCACGCCCATACATAGTCTTTCTGCTGCATGTATTCTCTGATGTCTAATTAAGTTTGAGTTGTTAGAGAAATTTTTGCCACACAAGGGACATAAATGGAGTTTCTTTGGCTGCAGTTCCTTTGGTCGCCCCAGTCCTCTGCAGCCTGTGGCTCCTACTAAGGACTGCCCCATTCTGTCTTCTGGGGGTGGTTCCCAATGCCCTTCTGCCCTGTCTCCAGATCTTTCCTGCTCTGAACTCCAGGGTGTTTCCCCTCTGGCTTGGCCAGGAAGCAGCATCTGAGGGTGGTTGTTTTCCATGGAAACAGATTGAGTGCTTCCTTCTGAGTTGTCAAACTTCTCTTGCCCTGATAAAGAGAGAAAAAACAAATCTCTACATACTTTTTCTTTCTTTTTTTTTTTTTTTTGTGGTACAGGGGTTTGAACTCAGGGCCTTGTACTTCCTAGGTAGACACTCTTTCACTTGAGCCACTCCACCAGCCCTGTTTTGTGTTGGGTATTTTCAAGATAGGATCTTGCAAGCTATTTGCCCAGGCTGGCTTCAAACCATGATCCTCCTGACCTTGCCTGCTGAGTAGCTAGAATTACAGGCGTGAGCCATCAGCGCGTGGGTCCACACTATTTCTACGCAGAAGAGAAAACTCTACATGTCTGCTATGACCCATCAGATCAGTTCAAAGGGCTAATTCCAATTCAGTTTCCCATTCCCTCCCTCTAAGTAAAGCACTCCAGAGAAACATATGGATAAGGGGTGGGGCCATGACTGAAGGAATCAAAGCCTACACTAGTCTTAGAATCCCCAAGACTGGGCATCTCGCTTCTGTCCTTCAGGAATGGGTGGGATGGAGCAGAGCTAAGACTATAGTGAGGCAAGGGAGCTCACCAGTGAGTGCCTCCTCATAGTTTGCATTCTGGATTCCTCACTTGCCTCACTGAGATGAAGACAGGGCTGGGGAAACACAGAAAGCAATGTAGCTCCATGGTGGAAGTGGTGGGCTAGCCCTGTACTCCAACCCTCAAATACCTCACACTCAACCTTGGGAGCCTTACTAGACAGTTATTCATCTCTATTACTTACCTGGAGCTGGGCTTTTGGGGCTCATGCCCTCCTTGCCACTCTGGATGTTGGGATCCCATGACTTCCTGCCTTGTTCCACCTGTGTGCTTAGGGCTTCCTGACTGGGAACTGGAGACTCTGTTCAAAATGAAACAGATAACTGTTATCACCACTCTCCTCTACCAGACAGGGCAAACAAAGAATCTTGTTCCCTACCCTCAGTGGCTAGATACAGGATGCCTGACATGAATGACATTGATTACTTACAATATACACTATTCTCAGTGTTTACTGCTGGAAAAGAAATTAGGGAAGACTAAGGAGTTTTTTAATACCTTCAAATTACTTGTGATTCTTTTTTTTGGAGGGGAATAGGGAACATGGAGATAGTCCCTATGAAGGGAAACAAAAGCCAACAATAACCCCTTTGCAGAATTAGTGCAAATGAGTTTGTAGCTCTGGTTCTCTTTATACAAACCTGATGGATGAAACAAACTGCAGTGTGATCTTTTACTGGTATGTGCATCAACATAGCCAGTCATACTGTACACACAGTCGTGTTTTAAGACTTCTTTCAGGCTTGGGGGCATGGCTCAAATGATAGACCACTTGCCTTGCAAGCACAAGGCCATGAGTTCAAACCCCAGTGCTGCCAAAAAAAAAAAAAAAAAAGACTTCCCTCAACTTTTTATTATAAGAATTTTTCATACATACAAAAAAGTCGAGGGAACTGTATAATAAATACCTGTACACCCTCTACCTAAATCCAACTATCAGTTTGTTGATCTCATAGGCATCATTTTCAATCTGTGTAATACATAGACACACTGTAATTTATGCATTACTTAGCCTATTTTGTGTATAAACATTGTTTCCAAATTTCCACATAGCTCTCTCCTTTTCCTGAATTTTTATGGGCTGTGAGAGCTAATTAGCTGGCATGTTGATGCCAGTGCTTCTACAATTTTTGTTTTTGGGGAAGAGTCTACAAATACTAATGGAGCACAGGAAATACAAGTCAGCCCAGAAGAAAAAGCATTTCAAGTTGCAAGGAATTAAGAACTTAGAAGTCCTTTCAGAATACTGGGACACCAAGTGTGTGATGCAGGTAAATCACTGAGTCTGATTTGTGCTGCCCTTGTAAGTCCACTGTGGTTGAGACACTCTGCCTTAGGCTCTGATAGCTGGAGCTTAAATCCAGGACTGCCTGTGGGCCAACTGTACCACTAGCTGACCCTAGTGTGGGGAACTTAAGACAAAGAGAGGTCTCCTGTGAGGCTTCTTGGCAAACAAAACTCAGAGTTTATGTCCAAGAGATGAATCTCCAAGGAGGCTGGATCTGTCAGAAATAGCACAGTCATCACCTCTGAAAAGGAAGTTCTTACCCAGTGAGTCCACGTGCTCATAACTCTCCTGCACTGAGTCTCTGGAGAGGGCTCTCTTACTAGGATCTTGATGCCCCCACTCCTCCTGGGAGATGTACATTGCCATGTCCTCTAAGCTTTCAGGCAACTGAAATAGCACAAGATCTCCTTTAGCTCCACATGTACCAAGAATAATTCAATCAGAACCAGAGGTTAAATGGGCAAATCCAAAGATTTATGCCATAGGATAGAAGGGTCCTGAGCCTGCAAGTGATGGGTGGGCAAAAGCGGAGAGGGAGACATTTGATCAGGGAGAAAGGATCCTTCAAATACCAGAAGGGCTCCATCCCACCCCAAAAAGAACACTCCACAAAGGAAGGAGGGTGCTGAAGAGAGACAACAGGAATTTCTACATCACCTGGGGCCCAGTCATTGTCTTGTCTTCCATGGTTCCTTCAGGAGGAAAAAGAGAAAGCCAAGGAGCAGATAAAGCTGAAGGTGACAGAAATAATAGTGAGAATGTCATTCCTAAACCTTAGCAACTGAAGGAATACTACAACACAGTATACATTCTACGACACCCAATATCTGCTTTTAGGATCAACACTAAACAAAAGGTGACACAGGCATAATGATATCCAAAGTAACAAAGAGCAAGGGAATAAGAGCAGTCTTCCACACTGTCCAGCACTGCACATCCCCTCCATCATTCATCTCATTCTAAATAGCCTGTTGTGCAATTTAGGGATCTACTTAGAGATTCTCTTTCTTCCTCCCATCCGCCCAGAACTCACACCACCACTTCCAGGTCTTTCAGGCAATGTCTGAGAACCTTAACTTAAGATATTTTTCTCCTTGGTACCTTTGCTACACCGTGCTACTGTCAGGGACAACCCCAAAGTCCCTCTTCCCTCCCAACTACCCAGGTAGCTGCTCCTCACCCCTCTCCTTTACAGCCTGGGGGTCCCTTTTGGGGCTGGGGTCTAGCAGCTCCTGCAGCCTGGGGCCAGGGCTTTGCTCAGTCTCTACTGGTTCCAGCTTGAAGCTCGGTGACTCTCCTGCTGTTTCCAGTGGCAAAGGCTCCTCCAAAAGCACTTCTGCTCTCCGCCCTTGGTTTGTGACCTGGGAACCAACCCACATCACTCATCATCACAACAGGGTCAACAGAAATAGAAATTAGTACAGGATTATAAGGGCAAGCCTTCAAGAGAGAACCGCAGACCATCCTTTTGGATATAGCAGGAGAGAAGGATGGTTTACATTAAAAGCCTAGCGTTACATTCCATGTGTTAGAGAAAGTAGGGGAGAGGGAGACAGGAAGGGGGGAGTTCCACTTCCGGTGCACACCTTCCACACACACTCTTCTGATACACCTCACTCCCTCTGTTCTCCTTCGTCTTTTCTAGACAAGCTAAACAACTCATACTGGATAAGCCAAACTTTGGTGGCCTTGGGGTGGGGAGAAGAGCAGTGACCGGAGAGCCTGAGTGCTAAGTTGTTTTTCCTCAATTAATGGAGATCTAACTTTGCGTAGGAAAACACAATCATGACCCTAATATAACAAGAGCTAAGGGATATTGAGCACTGAATATAAGCCAGCAGTGTCATCAAAACTTTACAGGCTGCTCTCCCTCTAACATTCAAAACAACCCTAAGGAAGGTTATTTAACTATATGCATTGTACCAGTGGGAAAACTGAAACCCCGAGAGATCAAGCAACTTGTCCAAAGTCAGAAAGCTAGTGAAAACTAGAGATCTAATTCCAGAGCAAACACCTATTGCCAAGCACAACTTCCCTGTAGAAACAGGGTCCTGTTTATTACGCTGTTCATTTTGGAAAAAGATGGAGAAAAAAATGCTCCAGATTAAATGGCCTCTTTTCCTATGTGAGATCTACTCAGGGTGCGATGTCCCAGTCCTCGGGGCCGAACCGCAGATAAAACAGCTTTGTCTCTCACCTGTTGCCTCAGTCTCCCAAGCTGTCTCTGCATATCTTCCACAAGGGTTACGGCTTCTTCACCGCTCTCCGGATGCAGCTCCTGCACCCTGCTCTGGATTTCCTGGGGCAGGATGATCAGGAACTGCTCTAGCACTAGTAGCTCCAGGATCTGCTCTTTGGTGTGCATCTCAGGCCGGAGCCACCCATGGCAAAGTTCCTGGAGCCGACTGAGGGCCTCCCGGGGACCAGCAGCCTCTTGGAAGCGGAACCGTCTGAACAGCAAGTGGGAGGCCTCTGGGGTAGGCCCTTGGTCTGGCGGGGGCAGCTCCTGGCTCCAGGAGCAGTCCTCCTCCAGTTTCACTATCAGGAGCCCTTCCCGTTCCTGGGAGCCCGGGACCGAAGCCATCGTCATGCTCCCAGCGCGCCTTGGTCCTGAAACCAGCAGCACCTCCCCCTTGGAAGGCGCCCTGAGCTCCGACCAAGGATGGTAGAAGCCAAGGAGCCCGGGGCTCCAAATCTCGGCAGAAGAACCCTGCTCGAGCCTTGGTCTCAGTTAGTACGGGCGCCCCGATATTAACCCGTACCCAACCCACACAAAATTCAGCACTCCCTGCGACGGAAGTTTCAGCGCGCAGGTTAGGCGTCACAAGCTAACGGCGACAGCACTAAAGCAACTTCCGGCTTACGTTTTGCATACTCTAGTTCCCATTGGATCCGATTGCGCCATAGACTCATCGCCGACCAACGATCAGAGAGTTGCCTTCGGTGGGCGGGACGAGCGAATGACCAATTGAAGACAAGAGGCGGGACCATAGGGTTAGTACTGCGATAGGGGCGGGGGAGGAGCCTGCTGGCTAGGTAGAAGCCTGAAAAAAATTCAGGTCGCATGTGGTTGTCGGACCACGTGGGTAAGATTTTTCTCAGGAAAGTTTGTCAAAATGCAAGTTCCTGAACCACGCTGGAACCACAGTCAAGTTGCGTGAGAGTGTCGGAGGGAGGTTCAAACATGTGAATCGTTAACAAGCTCCACATAGAAATACTTTTCCATGGCGGCCGCCAGTCCCGCAAGCTGCCATGGCCTGGGGGGAGGGAGCGAGGCGAAGGAGGGTCGCCCCTCCCTCGCGGCCTCGAGCTGCGCGGGGCCTGTCGGGAGATGCAGTCCGTGGTGTGGCCGTGCTACTGCGCCTGCGTCCTTGGTTAATTCCCTGGGTCTCTGCAGGTACAGGTTCTTGGCTTGGCCTTAGGGCTTGAAGGTCGCTGCAGGCAGCCATCTGTGGTTGGTTCGGCGATCACCTTCCGGCGGCTAGACGTCCGAGAGGAGCGCTTGGGGCCGGGCTTTCGATTTCGGATCGAGTTTTAAACTTGCCGGGGTCGTGCGATGCCCTCGGTTTCTCCTGGCTCAAGTCTGTGGTTCAGCCCTGCGAGGGCGCCATCTTCTCGCCGACCCACTCCTGCTCCGCGCGGTTGCGGGCTTTGTGTCAGTGAGGGGAGGGCTGCCCAGGCCTGAGGCTGCAGTGTGTCCGTGGCCACGATCGACTCGGCCTCGATTCCCTCCGCGACAGGCAGGCCGTGGGCTCGGAAGGTACTAGGAGTGAGTGGTGACAGGCACGCGTGCTTCTGCACAGATAGGTTCTCACAGCACCGGCTGGTGTGGGGCAGGCCCTGTCTGCTCAGCACTGGGTTGTTGTAGGTGAGGCACCGCGCATCACTCACGTCGCCAGCCTACCGCAAAACCTGAGGCTGCCATAGTGGTAGAGGGTGCTGTGGGGATGAACGGGTGGGTCCGTTTTGGATGGATGGTTGTAAAGAGTTGTAAGTATTTCGTTTTCTTGTTTCATTCGAGGTACAAAGACAGGTCCACAAGCTGTCACTGCAAATGACAGTGTCTAGTGGCCAGGTTGTACCCGGGCAGGTATAGGTCCATTTCAGAAAAACCTCGTGACCTCATAGAGTCCCCTGAGACCCAGTTTGATGATTTTCGACCTTCCTATTTCATGTAATTATAGATTCTAACCTGGAAACCCTATCTCCCTGGCATTCACTATGTGATCTCAAGCAATTTAATCTCACTAAGCCAAACCCTGGTTCTCTCTTCTCTTCTGAGGGAGTAATACTACATCGACCTCCTAACATGAGCTGAAGGAATAAGCTAATTTATGCAGGATGTGTAGAACAGTACCTGCACATGGTATAGACACAGTAGATATGAGGTACTAGCAATGCACAGTCTCTCTCTCTCTCTCTCTCTCTCACACACACACACACACACACGCCACATTACATGTGAAGCCTTGGTTCAATCCCCAGTACCAATAAATAAATGCCATTTGGATAATTATTGCAGAATGAATGGTATGGGAATTTTTGCAGAACTACACATACCTTGAGATAGAAAGGATAGTTTAACCATTTGTTTTCTAAGGTCCATTTGATTTTAGGATATCAATGGGTACTTAAAGGTAGATGAACTTTCAGGCTTATTCAAAATTCCTGTAAGTATTCCTCTTCTATTTCTTTGTGGCCTACCTATATGCGGAAGACAAAATAGTATTTGGGAGTCAGATTATAGAGCAGCACATTTATCTAGAAGGGTTCATTTGCGTCTGAGGTTTTTAACCTGCAATAAACAAAATCCTAGAGTAGAACTGTCTTATAGAACTTTCTGGGATTGTGGTTATCAGGCATTGAAATGCAGTTAAGAGTTGCCGAGTTTTACCATGTGGGTGCCATATTACTCAGAACAGTTCTGGAGGGTCCAAAGATGTGTTTGGTGACTTTGGAAACATTTGATATTGTTTGCAAAATAGCATGTGTGTGTTCTAGGAAGTGGGTCCACAAGTATCCAGTTATCAAAAGCACAAAAGATTTGATGAAATCTACAGTATTGTAAGACCTTCAGGTCCCCTTTGTGGGATGAGAGCATCCTGAAATGCCAAGTTTCCTGCCTCTCCTCTTAGGATCACCTGGGCCTCCAGGCTTCTGGCACTCTTTGCTTTTGCTACTTACCACTCCCCCCAGTTTGGATTTCTTCCAGTTTTTACCTAACTACAGCTTTCCCTTGATCTATGACTTTCTTTTTACCTATACAACATTACTCTGATCCTACGCTTAACTTTGAAATCTAACCATAAACAAAATACTGAAAAAATGGCTTTTAAATGCATTTTGGTATTAATCTAAACTACATTGACTCTTTCCCATGAAAATATAAAATAAGACATTTTGGAGTGGAGGGGGGATAAAGGAGAATGATGGAGGGGGTGAATTTAACAATGACAAAAGAACTTTTGTAAATGTCACAATGTACTCCCAGCATAACAATAACACGATAATAAAAAAATAAAATATGACATTTTGCTCCAGTTTGTATGTTTTGCTAAAATGTCTTGGAAATAATTTTTTATTTGGATTAACATTAACCAAACTGTCTTGCTAATATTGTTTGATAATGTTACTATTTAAACATTTTCCTCTTACTTGGATCTTAAGCCACTACTTATCAATCTGTGTTTTATTGCATTCTAGTCAACTTTGTCAAAGCTAAGGGAGAGGAAGGGACATGGAAAGAGGGTGCAAAAGCATAACTTGAAAGAAATGATAGCAGGTCACAGCAGTAAAGCTAACCGAAGGAAATTCTAATTCTCTTCGCATTGACAAACAGATAGTTTTAGTTAATATCAATATAATCTACTTCTTAGACTTCAGCTAAAACAAACTTATAAGTCTGCGTTTGCTAGTTATCACCCTACACAGTTGTGAAATTAATAGTAAACATAGTTTCATAACATTTTTTGGGGGTGTACTCGGGGCTGAGCCCAGGGCCTTGTACATGCTAAGCACGTACTCTCATTGCTGAGCTCCATAACTACCATTTTACCTCTCTCCCTTCTCTTGGGACTGAATTAGAGTGAAAAGCTTTGGGATTCTCCTTAGCCATTCCTTTTGTCCCTTTAGTGGTTTCATGTAACTCTTTCCACCGCACTTGAAGATGATGACATTGCTAACTTCTTTTTCTTCTATCAGGTTTTGAGATCAGGGGAGAAAATGAAGCTTCTTCAAAGCAAAACAAAAAGCACTAGGCACTATGCTTTCTTACTTTAGAGGAGAATGCTCACCTTGGTCACATTTTACAAAAAGACTAAAAAAAATTAGGGAAGCAGTGAGGAAATCCTCCAGGCTTCACAAAACTTACAGATCACAGAACCCCTCAAAAGGAAGAGAAGCTTCAAAACTCCAATCTAGAAGAATCTGTGAAAGTTAAGACTCCATAACAAAAAGAGTACAGGAAAAAAAACCTCACCAATATTCTCAGGGTGGGAAAGATATTGCTCAGAGGTTATAACCCTATCTGAGGATTGATTCCAGAGAGAAACTTCACAAGTGCCTGGCTGTGGGAAAAGCTTTCTTAGTCTACATTTTTATAGACACCAGTGTCCTCACACAGGGTAGAGAACCTAGGAACATATTAAACTTTATGAAAATCAATTGGGAGTGCATTTTAAGAACCTTTAACTGTTTTCAAGTAGTTCCACATGTAAGAAATTATTTTTAAAAGTAGCAACCAAATATTAAAATCCTTACACACACACACACACACAAAACTCTATGGTTCCCCACTGTCATAATAAAACATACGCTTCTCAAAAAAGTTTGGAAAGGTCTTCATGACATAGACCTTGAACTGTGGTAACAAGTAATGCATTGACTCCTGTCCCCACCCCAACTCAGGATCACTTCTGTTTGTGCTCCCATGGTGTTTTGTTTATATTTTGCTTCCAAAACATAACAAAGTTCATTTTGCAATCATTCTGCAACCTGCATCGTCTTCTGCCTTTCCAGTGTACAGACATCAGCAACACACACACGACTGGATTTGTATGAGGTAGAATGCATTATTAATCCTTTCATACTTAAAATGTTCTAGGTATACTAAATATTAAAAATGAATCAAGAAAGATGTCAGATAGACAACTCTTGGAAACCAGAATATAGATCATTTTATGAATATGCCAAATTATACTTCTATGCATTTTTCAATAGATAAGGGTAAAAATCAGTACCACCCACCTCATAAGTACTATAATGAGTAAACTGAATATATTTAAGTAAATCCCCAAATATAATAAACTTTCAAAACCCATCAGCATATTGTTATTTAACGATAAAAACTTAAGTCTATGAATTTTCCTCTTAATTATAGCTTTAGCTGCATAATATATAACATCCTTCTTGCTAATGGTTTGAAAATAGTTTGTCATTGCAGTTTTTATTTTATTTCCTCCTTGGTCACCACTGCCCTAATAATTAAGCAGAAAGTCCTGTGCTGGAAAGTCCTGTGTGTTAGAGAGTTGCTTAACTAGTCTGGCTCTTCAAGAAAGTTTTTTTTGTGATTTTTTTTTTCCAGTACTGGGGGTTTAACTAAGGTCCTTATGCTCTTGCTAGCCAGGAGTTCTACCACTTGAGCCACTCCACCAGACCTTTCTTAGTTGGTTGTTTCTGAGATAGGGTCTTGATTTATGCCCAGACCAGCCTGGATCTTGAACCTCCTCTTTGTGTTTCCTCACGTAGCTGGGATGTCAGGCACATGCCACCACACAGAGTCATTGA